CTTATATTTAAATCATAAACTTTAATCATTATTTACAGCAAAATCTTCTCTCTGTACATATTATTATATGAGTTTGTCCTAAAATTATTAGATCTGTCTTGAATAAAAATAGCTATCAATGTTCCATCTGCCTATGATTCAACAAGCTAAGATGGGGAAAGAAATTGATTTTTCTAAATTAGACACAGCTGTTTCTAGCACTCTAGTTAAATTCGAACACTTAAAAAGATTAATAGAGCAATGTATTAATTTTATACATACTATGAAAAATATACATTTTTCTTTCCCACAATTTAAAGAAAAACACTCTCTATTCTCATGAAACATATTACCAGTAATATAAAAATGAAACCCTTACTAAGAGTCCCTAGCTCTACCTATCCCATAGTAGTGGTGCAGAATTTTTACATTTTTGCTACAGCAGTTAAGCAAGATTCCTTCTCCGTTTAAAAAAAAAAAAAAAAGAGCAGAAAGAAAGTGCCATAAAAGCAACCATATTCTATCAGTAGCCAAATACACAACAAATATTTCCTTGGCTACAACCATCTCTAAAGTCAAAAGGTCCGTACTCAAGCTTGGGTAATGAAGTGAATGGATGCCTAAAATGTTTTAGTAAGCATAAAACCAAGAGGGGTGAGCAAATGTACTTTTTCAACTTGGATTTTTAAATCGCTAACAAGTTGACAGTTACAAATCTGTTCAATGGAAACTCTAAGGCAAAGATTTAGTGACTGGCCACTTAAATTATGGATGCCAATCCTGTGCTTAAATTGTTTGAGTTTAATCACAAAATATAACATTATTTACCGATAATGTTTAAAGGAATATAATCCAAAAGGACAACTCTTCCAAATTGCCAGAGGCCTACTAACCAAACTTTATTTTAAAAGGAATTTACTTTTTATCCATTAGCAAGGCTCCCAGCCGCCCAGGAAAGCTTGTGATTGAAACAAATGACAGCACCCCAAGTATTCAAAGGACTAGATCTGAGTGTTACTTCTCTGCTCTTAGAGAATCAAGGATATGCCTTTGAAAGTATTAAGCAGTATTTTAACTCAGGCAAATACTTCTTTAGCATTAGCTGTTGGTCAAAAATTGACTTTTTATTTTTAATAGCTTGTGACACAAATGATACACAGAGGTACAACTGATGACCCTTTATTAGTTATTTAATACAATCACTTAAAAGTATTCTCATGTTTATAACTGTTTTTCTTTTGAGGAATCAGAGGAGGGTACTTTTAGTTTTGTTAAAGGGATTTTCCTCCCCAAACTTAGTACTTCTAAAATGTCATTTTAATAATAGTTAATATATAAAGCATTGATTATATGCCAGACACTGTTCTAAGTAACTTACATTTATGAACTCATTTTATCCTCTAAATATCCCAAGAAGAATTATTACCTTTTTTAAAGAACACATGAGGAAACTAAAGCACTAAGACATTAATTTGCCCAAACTCATACAACTAGTCAGTCACAGGAGGAGGGTCTGAACCCAGGCAGCCTGGTTCTAGACTGTTCTTACCACTTTCCTTCAATCCAGTTAGCACATTACTTTGATCTCACATTTTTGAATTCTTAAAAATTAGCTAACTTGCTACTGGCTAAAATCCCCAAAAATATCAAAATATCCAGTTTTATTTAAATCACTTTCCAACAACTTTAAGGAACTGTATATTTCTCTCTGTAATTAAGAGCAGGCACAATTTATTTGTCAATAGTGCTAGTGTGTCATTTAGAAGGTGTAAATGAGGAACTCTGAGAAGACTAACAACATATTTAGAGTTGTCGCTCAGACATTCTATGCTTAATTTAGAATAGAAGTTCCTCTTTGGGAGCATTTAGCATAGGTATTTAATATTTGCATTTGAAAATGGACATTCAAATCATCCTGAGGGCTTTCCCTCACAGGCCACATCCGACTGGCTCTCCAGCAACACTACAGAAAACTGAGGGAGTTGGAAGGTGCAGTAGGAGCAGGGGCAGTTACCCCAGGTCGACAAAACCATAAATGGAAATATGTAGCATGAATAATAAATTATTTCCCCAATTCATACACACACCATGGGATGCCTAGACCATGTGCTCCTTCTGAGAAAAGTCCTAAGACTGCATCATTCATTCAGTCTTTCCTAAGTGTGTACTGAATGCCTTCCAAGCATCTTCATTTAGAAGAAATGTAAATTCAGGACATTTTTCTCAAGAAGAGCATGATACAGTAACAGTGACCAGAGAGAGCAGAAACATGCCACACTGGAACAGCAGCGGGACTGCCGAAGAATAAATACAAATGCAGGCCCCACTATTTACTAGCTGGAGAACCTTAGTGACGTTATTTGTACTCTGTGAATATCATTTTCCTCATCCTTAAAAAGAAAAGGGTAAATAGCCTATCTAAAGGAGCTACTAGTGCCTGGTACCCAGTGAGTACTTATAGGTCAATAAATGTTTTAATAGCAACTAATAAATTATGAATTTCAGTAAAAATAAAAGAACCATAATAAACATATAAAAAAAGGAGAAGAAATGTGTTAAAGAAAGTAAGTATAATCAATTCATAGAAAAAAAGGGTCAGTATAAACTACAGCTTCAAGAATCAGGAAGGAACTAGAAGGTCACGAAAAGCAAGAAAGATAAAAGCACTACCAGGAACAAAGAACATTATTTGTAATAATTTGGAATGTTTGGAAGCCTGAGAAGCTTGGGACATTTGGAGGCTCAGGCAGAATTCTCTGAATTGAGGTCAAAGTTTAGGAAAAAAGTAAAGACAGACTGCCTGCCCATTGTGAGGGCCTTGAAGGAGTCACAGGCCTAATCTACAGGTTTAATTTTGGCAGTGTAAGAGAAATAACATAATAATAAGAATAGTTTGCTTTTATATATAAACAATCATGAAATTTTGAAAAGTAATACCCAGTTAAAGAAGTCGTATTCCTTTAAAGTGATTTAGTAATTTTTTTTCCAGTTGTACTCTAATAGCTAGAGGATACTACTGAGATATTTTTATCAAAAGAGAAAAAACCATGAAATAATTGTAACTTCTAAACATGGCTCTTTTTTTGTATCAATTAGAAAATATATTAAAGACATATGCCTATTATATAAATGTCTAAAAGAGTTCACAAAATAAAAAGTAAATGTATTTTGAGTAAATTAAAATATAGAGTAATTTGCAAAGATAATGCCTAAATGACAACAAAAATATTTTATACACAACAAAATCATTTTCCTAAAAACTATTTTGAAAATAAAAAAGTAAGTATATTTAGTATACTTTAAAAATTTAGCTTTCATTTAAGATTGAGTCAAAAGAAATGTAAAAACATACAGAATAAGAATACTGTCCCTCAACTTCCAGAAAGAATTAGCAGTAAAAAAGAAAAATACCAAAGATAAAAAGGAAAAAGGTAGATAAGTTAACAAGTTTATAATAAGATGTGATCGATAAACAGGAAAGATATTTTCTGATGAAATGATATATTTTCCCGCAGAAATTGGGAATTTGGCTTTGAAGATAAAAAAAAGTCAAAGTCATTGAAATCTCAGATCCCTATTTGCTCAACTGATAATTTAAATGATTTAAGAAAATTTTCTCTTCAATTTGCTTTCCCCAAATCTGAAGTCCTTCACAAATTTAAAAAGGAAAAGAAAAATGTAGCCTGCAAAGATTAAAAATTATTTAAATGTGGCAAAATTTAAGCTAAGTGATACTTCTAAATTTCCCTCCTGTACTGTAAACTTGAAATCAACCTGTTTTAAAAAAAATCTGATAACCAGAAATGATTTTACAATATTATTAGTATAGATAATTGGTTTCCAGTCTTTTAATAAATGAGACCATGTAACTGTCAATAATTTTTAAAGACTTCCCCAAGTGATTCCCCCATACGTATACTACATGCAGTATTATGACTTCTACAATGCTTTAAAAAATAGACACATATTTCAAAAAGATGAGCATGCAAATTAGACATATGTACTTCTCTGGAGAGAGCAGTTTATCTGCCTATCCATTTAAGGACTCCTAATAACTCCTCAGAGATGTAAGAGCCATTGGGTGCTAACTACTAATTGAGAAGTCAGTTTAGGAAGGATATCCCCCATTCACAAGTGTTTAGTGTTTCATCGTTTATGACAGGGTTCACACACCAATTCTGAAAAGTAGACAGGTAAAGTATAAGAACTCTCATTTTCCAAATGAGAAGATCAAAGTCTAGAGAGACCGAGGAAATGGGTCAAGGTTACACAGCTTAATAACAGTGGAATTCCTATTAGATAGCATGTCTTGCTACTTATTACTAACTCAATGTTTTATCCATTACAACTTATTCATCTGGTCATGGAAGGGCAGTGTAATTATTTTCATTAAAATCAGACTAACATATTTAACCAATAATTCAGAGAGAGAAACATGTTTTGATTTATATCTTCTTGGACTATCTAAAAACTCGGCTGGCTACAATTCTACATAATAATCATTTTTAGGGTATTAAAACAAAAAAGAAATGCCAAAATGAGCTAGCATATGCTAAATAGACAAACCCACTCACAAAAGCGTTATGGAATAGGAAGCCGATAAATTTCCAAATATTGCAAAATTTCCAAGTGCCACTATTTTTAAATTTTCACTTTGTACTGTCACTTCTATATGCATTAATCTATAAAACCCAACTGTCTAGTAATTTCTCAATGATCTTAAGATCAGGTAGTTATATTAAAATGCATTAACACACAATTCATTAATTAGTTAAGAGGTAAGCCAATTTAGAACAATACATAAGATGATGTGCCAAAGAATGTGGGAAATAGTAACTAAAGGTTACTAAAAGAACTAAAACCGAAAAGTCAAGGAATACAATGCCTTAAAGCACATTATTTTGTATTTTAAAAGACCTTTATGATACTTTTTTCATGTGTGATATTAAATGTTTTTTTCTGACCCATTCTAAAGAACCATAAAAAAGCAAATTAAAATAGGGATGAAATAAAACGCTTACAGGTTTGTATCTCAGTGCATCTCTGTAGGATCCAAACAAAGCAGCCTGTGCCCTAAGAAAGGCCCTAGCTACTCCATCACCCGTAGCTGTAGACTGCTTCTTCAGTTTATTTTTCAGGGCCGAGACCTGCATGACAGAGGAACGGTTAAATTAACACCTCAGAAATTGGTACAGCGAGGTACGAACCCAATCAGCAGGCAAACCACAGTGTCTGCAGGTCAGCCAAAAACTCATCCTCCTCCCTGAGAGCTTATCTTTTTAACTGCAGAGAGCACCTGCTGGTCTGTTAATTGAAACGAAAGCAGGAGCCCATAGTAACGTGCTAATGCAAATTGGTTTATGCTCTCTTTTTTTCCCAAGGCCTCTTGACATAAATAAGCTTTAATTATTTTACGGTAAACTGCTTGTGAGCCACTTTTCTGCAGATTTTTAGCAATTACAACATGTGTCTACTTGTTTGAGATGAAGCCGGTTGGGTATCGTTCATTTCTGCCATGTCCAGTTATTTGTTACAGGTCCTCCAGGATCACTTACCATTTAATTTTATTTTTGGAACCCTCATTTGCATATAATTTTCTAGTCGTCTGTTGAATAGTTTTCACCATTATTAGACAAAAAGAGAGGGGGAGAAGTTAAAGTGACTGAGAACCTACCATGAGTAGAGAATCATGTTATGCACATGTTATACACTGTCTCATTTAGTTTTCATAGCCTTCTAAGAAAGACATTGATATTACCATTTATGAATGAAGAAACAGGAGCTCAAAAATGTGAATCAGTTTGTCCTCCCTATACAGCTAATACATGGGAAGACAGATTTCAACCCAGTTCTGTCCAGTTTTTTCCACCACAATGTGCTGAGTTTGAGTTCAATGTCATTGCCTTATGAACCAGTAATCAGATTAAAATAATGTTTTTAAATCAAAGAAAAATTTATTACTCAGGAGTTTGCATAATTTTTCAAGGCACCTAAATTTGTTATCATTTTTCATACATTTCTGTCCTTCAAGTTCAGGTTCTGTGTATTTTAGAGAATGTATATTATTTATGAACGGCCCTTACTTAGATGAGTATTCTGTAGGTATAATCATACTCCTGATGTATACTCCTATTTTTTTAAGGCGAAATAATGTGATATGTTCCTTTTATCTTATTCACCTGACCAATTCCTTTCACACATTATAGAAAACTACACTCTCTACACTTAAAAAATATTGGTGCTCATATACATTCCTCACCGATGCTTTACATGGGAACATAAAATATCTCATTAATAATTTTTATATTGATTTCATAATGAAATAATATTTTGAATATTTGGTTAAATAAAATATATTAAAATTAATTTCACCTATTTTTTTTACTTTCAATATCATGGCTACCAGAAAATTTAAAATTGCATAAAAATTGTGTTTTCAAGAAAACAAAACTAATGGGAGAAATTGTGGTTGGCTTGTTCCCTTAACAGAGCATATTCTGACCCTTATGAAACTACCAGATAATAAAATAAAATAATGTCATTTCTTCTTTACATATATACACAAGGAAGGGTATTTTCAAAAGTTTCTTTATGCAAGCAGCCCTGACTACTCCTGTAGATGATGACTGTAATTGAAGTGTCAACCTAATTAACAACTAAACTTTGAATAATGCTAATGAGAAATGAACACAGCATCAGAGGAAAGACCAGCTCTACAGGTGATAAACCTTCACAGTAGTGACATTTTCCAGTGTAAAGTCACAGTTACTGTGATCTGATCAAAGAAAGAGACCCCCATTGGGTCCAATTATAACCACAGTTTTGAAAAAATTATTGAGTTATGATGTTCATAATCTATGCAGAAAGGCCTTTGCAGTATAGGTCTTCTCCCCATAGCTGTGATCTTTTCAATTTATATCTAAGCTCCATAGATTCAGATAAAAGTTTGGAGCCTAATTCATTTAGCCCACAAAGTGCATAAATCAGGATTCATTTAAGAGGAAGTTTTTATTATTAAAATCTAAACTCAATAATTGCACACTTTTAGGTAACCCACATAATTCAAACAATGTAGCTAAATGATGCAAAACCAAATCTTACGACTTAATGTCTTTCATTTTCAAGTTTGTAAATAATGTTATTTTTTAAGCTTCAAATGTCTTTAATGAAAACTAATGGGAATGAATATCAATGCATATATTTAATAACTGCCCCCCTCAAAAAAGGCTTATGATGGAAGAAATACGTCTTTCCATGTATTATAAAAAGTAAATGGTTGGGTTATTTTTAATTTATTTTTGAAAACAAAAAACATATTTTAAAATGTTATGCCTTACTTATATCTTGCAAAAGAAAATTCCTCAAAGTGTATTTTTCTACAAAACATGAATGACAATTCAGTTCTCTATAAATTGAGTATTCTTAGGACAATCATAATACATGCTCACAGAGAATGGAGGCAAGTCAAACCATGCCTTAACCTTCTTTACCCCAAGTCCTTAGGTGCTGAATTCAGTACTGCTTAAGCTAGCCAGGATATTAATCATATTGCCACAAGCCCTTCCTAACCAAACTGTAAATATGGGGCATGCACCGCCAAAATTTAATGTAGTACTTGAGCTCCCTCAGGAGCTCTGTAGAAAATAGGAAAGAAAAAGAAAACACTTGTTCTAGAACTGTTTTGTCCAATACAGTAGCCACTTGAAATGTGACTAGTCCAAATGGGGATTTGCTCTAAGTGTCAAAATACACTGGATTTTGAAGACTTAATACCCCCAAAAGGTAAAATATCTCAATAATTTTTATACTGATTTCATAATGAAATAATATTTTGAATATTTGGTTAAATAAAATATATTAAAATTAATTTCACCTATTTTTTTACTTTCAACATGGCTACCAGAAAATTTAAAATTGCATATGTGGCTCACATTTCCATTGAACAGTACTATTTTGCATAAGCATACTATCTAATGTGAGATGTGAGACTAAAACATTGCCTAGTAAGAAATATGGTTACATTGTTTCTTTGCCTATTTCTACATTACTTCAACCTTTACAAACTGCTTGAAGAGGTTTTCCTTGACCTACTCTAGGTGGGCTTTGACTGTCAGTAAGTAGATCTGAAGTTGTTCCTATTTTTCAGAGACCAAGAGGGCAGGTGAGTTGTGTTTCTTGGATGCACAAATGAATGCTCAAAAATAGTTTGTAAAAATGAAATATAGTTTTTTAAAATCAGTTTTAGACAGAAATATATGACTTTAATATAAGGTGACTGTTATCAACCTTGCTGTTTCCCTGTCCTTTAAGATCACTGAGTAAATTATCACCAGTTACCAATGCCCTCTGCAGTGCTAATTAGCTTTTAGCAGTTTTTATTTATAAAAATGGTGATGTCTCTTCTGTACTTTTTCAATACTAGGTTTGGGAAATAGCATTTCCTGCTCTAACTTCCAAACTTCTAAATTTAGTTATGAAATAAATGTACATTTTCCCCAAAATCATAAAGTTTATATTCACATGTAACCCTGAACTCAGAAGAGTATTTGGAACTTTAGTCACCTGCCTATTACCACACAATCCCATTATGTGACACTGAAAAAGTATTGACTGTTTTCTTTTTATTCTTACGAAAGTAAGCAAGCCTCAATCTCCAATGGCTAAAGACTACTTCAAAACTGACATCTGATTTTATTATGACACTTTAGTCTGTAAATAAATTATCTTTTTAAGTCTAATTAGGCATATTAGACCAAAAAAAAAAAAAAAGCTAAACAGTGAAAAGAACTTCAGAAATAAATATCATTTCACGGCTCTTATCAAATGTTTAAATTCCTTTCATATAGTGAGAATTCAGGCTTCCAAGCAGCCATCCAAGGGAGGAATTATAACCTGGGCTTAGCACAGTGGGAGTTCACTGCAACATGAATAATATTACCACCAATTCTCCACTTTTACCCTCTTAACACTGAAGTGACTATGAATAAAAGTAGGGAATTACATGAGTAAACATAACAAACAGGTATAAATTAAAAGAGGGCAAGCCACGTGCACACAGTCTGAGTAATGAAGTAATTATGCCAAATGGGAGTTAGGAAGGGAGAGCATATTAAAAGAGCTGAGTTTTTCAGAGAAGTGGCAGATTTTTCTCTTGACTTTTAGATGTGTCTTTTCAGGAAACATAAATTAACCCCTATACCCAGAAATTTTATTTTTGCTTTTTAGGATCACAAAGATAAACACCAGGGTAAAAAGCAGAAGGTAAAAATAAATGTCCAGAAATAATATTTAGATAACCCACACAACCCTAAAACACCCCTCTGATGTTTTTAAATACCTCCTTTTGTGTAACTACACTGTACTTGAGAATCCACATACATTTAGGAAAGTTAGAGCTTCAAATAATTATCTGCTTTAGAAAAAAGTTACAAAAATAAAATGTTTTATTCTCCCTTGAAACATGTTATGGTCATCACATGAATCGACTAAATCCCTACAATTCTTTAATCCTTCTAATGTTCAGGGTTTTTTTAGAAACAATATTAACTCTACCCTCTTAATATAGTTTTCTAGTGAGCTTCTACTTAAGGATTAAAACAGTAACCATATCAAATGAAAAGCATAGGATATACTTGTGGAGGGTATCATTACCTTGTCTCTTTGTATGCTTTAATAACCTATCAAAACCTAATTACTATAGGGTCACTTCTAACTATTTTCCTTTCAGAGGCCATTATAAAATAAAGACAACCAAACTGCTCTTATCACCACCTCAAGCCCAATGCCAGGCCAGCATCTCTAATATCAATGTCACCTCCATTCATCCAGTTACTCAAAAAGGAATCTTGCAGGTCCTCCTCAACACTTCACCCTTTCTCATCTCCCACATGCAATATGTCATTACACCCTGTCAGTTAGACCTCTGACGGAGATTCAAATTTGTCCACTTTTCTCTACATACCTGCCACTACCAAGTTCGAGCAACTAGCATCTCTACCTAGACTACTGCAAATGGTCTCAACTGATCTTCCTGCTTCATTCCTTATACCCAGTTATCTTCAGGACCCAGACCCCAAGATGATATGTTTAGAAGTCAAAGTAGATCACACTATTCCTCTGCTAAAAATCCCTAATGAATTTCCAATGA